ATCACAGACTACCGTCCATAACTGGTCGTTCATCACAGACTACCGTCCATAACTGTCGTTCATCACAGACTACCGTTCATAACTGGTCGTTCATCACAGACTACCGTCCATAACTGGTCGTTCATCACAGACTACCGTTCATAACTGGTCGTTCATCACAGACTACCGTTCATAACTGGTCGTTCATCACAGACTACCGTCCATAACTGGTCGTTCATCACAGAGAAACATTAATATATCTGCAACATTATAGTGTCTCGTAGTTTTTATTACGGCGATACGTCATTAATTCACAAACAATCGACATAATTCTGAAAATTTTAATGATTGGCTGTGATAATGACACTTGACCTGAATATAAGTCAATGTTGACGAATATAAAGAATAATAAGAAAGTGAAACGTCATTCATCGCGAGTTACTGAACGCATGTCGGTGAACGTTGGAGTAAGATGGTCACTGTAGGCAGGCGGTCATAGAGAGGGAGACATTTACTCGTAAGAATAACAAAAAAATTAACACCTCACACCATTGACCTTCGTGGATGACCTCTGACCTGGATTACGGTCCGATTAACAACCAGGAACAATCAGCTGTGAAATTGTGCCAAATCGGCTCATAATTGTTGGCCTCAGTGGTGGAATGTGATGATTTTATGTTCAATGACTAATGTTAAACTGTTAAGTTGTTTGACTGTTAATGGTGTGTAGTGAGACGGTTGATTCTTGTAAATGAATAATAATAATAATAATAATAATAATAATAATAATAACAATAACAATAATAATAATAATAATAATAATAATAATAATAATAATAATAATAATAATAATATAATAATAATAATAATAATAATAATAATAATAAGTAATAACAACAACAACAACAAAATATCATCAAACCCCACACCATAACTCAGGACACTACACCTCCTCGTAACCATCTCGCTAACTATCTCGCTAACCATCTCGCTAATCATCCCAGCAAAACAGTCAGTAGCCCCCCTGCAGTAAGAGTGGCAACACATCTTTATTTCAAACAACCAACTTTCCTTCACTCTGCCTTCCAGCATAATCTCGTCCGTTGTGATGGGTTAGCGAGACGTTTACGAGAGGCATTATGGTTAGAAATTACTTTCTTTTTTTTCTTTCTTTTGTAATTGCTTCATTTTGCCACGATGGATATGAAATAAAAAATAATAATTTCTTTACCTGGTGATGTTGTAAGCTGTTGGTATGGTAGGGAGGTGCGTGAGGTGTGGTGTGGGTGGAGATAAAAATGGGTGTAAAATGACTGAAACTGGGTGTATGCGGACTGAAATTGGGTGGAAGATGAAACTGGGTGTAAAGATTGAAACTGGGTGGAAAAGGACTGAAAATGGGTGTAAATGGACTAAAATTGGGTGGAAAAGGGCTGAAACTGGGTGGAAGATGAAACTGGGTGTAAAGATGAAACTGGAAGAAGAAAGAATGAAACTGGGTGGAAAGGGACTGAATAGCACTGAATATGATTAAAAAGGTTAGGTTAGGTTAGGTTAGGTTAGGTTAGGTTAGGTTAGGTTAGGTTAGGTTAGGTTAGGTTAGGTTAGGACTTTAAAACTATGCAGAAAAAGGCAGCGAAGGGCTCAAGACGCTACACAACATTGAAGAGGAGAGAAGGTGAGAGACATCTGAAGGAGCTTTAGAGATGGTGAAAATGCTCAGGTGAAAGGAGTGAAGAGACGGGGTCAGGTATATGTAATTAAGGTGAATATAATGTCGGGTTAATTGGAGGGTCAGTGTGGTGCTGGAGACAGGTAAGGTGGAGAGGTAATGCTGTCTGTCTGTCTGTCTAATCTGTCTGTCTGCATGTCTGTCTATCTATCTATCTATCTATCTATCTATCTGTCTGTCTGTCTGTATATCTATCTATCTGTCTGTCTGTGTCTGCCTGTCTATCTAGCTATCTTTCTATCTATCTATCCGAAAGACAGATAGACAGACAGACTATGAGACAGAGATAAAACAAAGAAATTGGCTGAAAGAAACAGACATTCAGAGAGTTAGCAGACGTGAAAAAATACAGACAGACAGACAGACAGACAGACAGACAGCAGACAGACAGACAGACAGACAGACAGACAAGCACAGACAGACAGACAGACAGACAGACAGACAGACAGACAGACACAGACAGACAGACATAGAACGTATTAAGAAAACAAAAATTATATTAATATATCTACACTCTACATACCAGTTCGACAGGGGAGCCATTTATATCTATTAACTCGTATGTAAATCAGGTGGACTGGCTGGTTCTCGATGTCTCACTCATTAACAAACTGCTATTAATTAAATGTTCATAATCAAACAACTAACTTAAATATCTCGTATGATTTGTCGATCTATTTCAAACACCAAAGTTTTTTTTTCATTATATTTTCGTATTTTGTAAATTTGTAAAAAATATCTGTATGGATATGTAAATTGATTTTCTTATGTTAATATTTAAGTAATATTTCCGCTTCTCTCAACAATATGTAAATACACCAATGGAATTTACATTACGGTTAATAACATGTAAATAAATATGTAAATGAAATACACTCCTTTAAACATAGTACCTGTATCTTAATATGTAAAAGGATTTAGGCTCCTCTCTATATATGTGTAAATATGTACTGTATTAAGTAACTGGTGTATATTATGTATTAACATCATCTAATACATCAACTGTGTGATGAAAATATATAACAATGAATATTTATATCACGTCCCGGAGCAGGAAGAACACAACACCGGCAGAGGACACACCTGCTGAAGGGGACACACCTGGCTGAAGGGGACACACCTGGCTGAAGGGGGACACACCTGGCTGAAGGGGACACACACCTGGCTGAAGGGGGACACATCTGGCTGAAGGGGACACACCTGGCTGAAGGGGACACACCTGGCTGAAGGGGACACATCTGGCTGAAGGGGGACAACCTGGCTGAAGGGACACACCTGGCTGAAGGGGACACACCTGGCTGAAGGGGGACACACTGGCTGGAGGACACACCTGGCTGAAGGGGACACACCTGGCTGAAGGGGGACACACCTGGCTGAGGGACACACACCTGGCTGAGGACACACCTGGCTGGGGACACCTCTGAAGGGACACACCTGGCTGAAGGGGACACACCTGGCTGAAGGGGACACACCTGGCTGAGGGACACACCTGGCTGAGGGGACACACCTGGCTGAAGGCACACACACCTGGCTGAAGGGACACACCTGGCTGAAGGGACACACCTGGCTGAAGGACACACCTGGCTGAGGGACACACCTGGCTGAAGGGGACACACCTGGCTGAGGACACACACCTCAGATAAAGATGAGAATAACAGGAAAATGGGAAAAGATAATTGGAAAATGAGAACACACACACACACACACACACACACACACACACACACACACACACACACACACACACACACACACACACACACGTCAGGTGATCACCCGGCGTTGATATATTAATGTTAGTCAGGTCCATGTTGGTTGCCACACCAACAAGCTTCCTAAACTCATTATAGATCAAGCTTTCATTTTAAGCTTTTCACCTCACCAATAAGCTTGATATTTCTCAGTTATTTATTATTTTTTTCACATTTCATATCAAGAGTTTTGTTCTTCGACTCGGCTTAATTTTCAGCATACATAATATTCTAATAATTATATTTTACTGAGGCCATTTAATATTACCTAAGACACTGGAACTCTTTTATTGTCTGTAATAATTAAAAGCAAGCCCATTATAGTATTGGAGAGAAGAAAACAGCTTTTTGATCAATTCTATTTGAGAACGACTACTAATACTGTCTCTGTGGTGATGGTAAGACTCAACACTTTCTTAATATATTCTGTTAGTTACTACCAGGTACGACCTAGTACGACCTCTGTAGAGTTAGTTACTACCAGGTACGACCCAGTACGACCTCTGTAGAGTTAGTTACTACCAGCTACGACTTGCCTTTTATACGACCTCTGTAGTCTTAGCTTAAACCATCATAATACAACAAACACCGACAGATATATATAAATCCTCTCTCTCTCTCTCTCCTCTCCTCTCTCTCTCTCTCTCTCTCTCACAGAAACCCCTTGGATTCGAAACTTATCATCGTGAATCAGGCAACGAACCCGAATCACTTAAAGATTCGTTCAACAAACTTTTCTCCTAACATATCAAGTGATAACACATCTAAAAGAGGCTCACTGAAACTGCCTCACAATGATGGCGGCCAAGATAGCGTCAAAATAGCACAGAGACTCGACCAGAGCTAAAGGCGTTCTCTTATCTCCAAAGGGTACGGGAAGTTAACATAGGTGGACGCGAGTTAGGCAATCCGGGGCTAACTTGGGGCTGGTTAGACTCTTGTTGTAGTGTGCATAGGGAGGGAGGCCTCTCCCTCTCTCTCTCTCTCTCTCTCTCTCTCTCTCTCTCTCTCTCTCTTCAGCATTACCAGAACCAAAGACCCAATTTCCCGGTAACCTGTGTTGTTGTTTTTTTTTTCCCCCTGGAGGTCACTTGGGTCCAGAGCCATCAGTGGTCTGGCTCGGTCGGTCATTTGGTCTCATAGTGACTTTTGTTGGTCGGAGATGAGAGACAGAACTGGACTCTTAGATGATGGCATTTTTGGTGGGGCATTCAAGGTGTGGTGTGTAGTGTAGTGTAGTGTAATGTAGTGTAGTGTGTGGTGTAGTGTGGTGTGGTGTGGTGTGGTGTAGTGTAGTGTAGTGTAAGGTGAGGGGGGGAGGCATAGAAGAACATGCTCTCCAGAAGTGTCTCAGAGGTGAAAGTCCCTCATAAAAAAAAAAACATTTCGCCAATATTTTGTTTTATGGTACAACACACACACACACACACACACACACACACACACACACACACACACACACACACACATTACCTATCCTAACAACAGACACAAGCCCATTAACCTAACCTAACCTAACCTAACCTCTCGCACTACAGGTATGAGCTACAGGTTCGCCGCCAGTGACCGTGTGTGGGGCAGAAGGTGTCCCAGCCAACGTGACGGTAGCGGTCAAGGTCTAACCTCTGAGGCCCTCACCACCCGCCATCACCCTCACGCCCGCCCACCTCACCAGGGGTTGGACGCCCACGGTATTACTGGATATTCTTTTGTGTTTTTGTGTTATTATGAGTATTGTTATTTTTGTGGGTATTACTATTATTATTATTATTATTATTAGTAGTAGTAGTAGTAGTAGTAGTAGTAGTAATTAGTAGTATTAGTAGTAGTAGTAGTAGTAGTATTAGTAGTAGTAGTAGTAGTAGTAGTAGTAGTAGTAGTATTATTAGTATTAGTAGTATTAGTAGTAGTAGTAGTAGTAGTAAGTAGTAGTAGTAGTAGTAGTAATAATTAGTAAGAGATGATATCAGGCAGCAGCAGGAACCTACAAGTGTGTGAGCCACCAGGCTGGTGGGGAGGCGGCCATTCACGCCATGAGATTGATATTTGAGCAGCGTGATTGTGAGGCCGTTCTTCTGGTGGATGCTTCAAACGCATTCAACATACTTACCCGAGGCTGCACTGCACAACATCAAGATCAAGTGTCAGCTTTGATGTATGTTGAAAATTCGTATAGGAATCCTTCAGACCTCTACATAGTAAACAACAAAACCAGAGGTGATACCATCTTACAGTCAACTGAGGAACAACACAGGGGGACGTTGCAATGGCAATGTGCAATTGGCCTATCAGTGCTCCAACAAAAAATAAAATTTAGAAACAACTGGGTCAAACAAGTGGCATATGCTGACCTCACAGGAGCAGGAAAAGTGGAGGACATCAAAAAGTGGTGGGACCTGGCAACATCGCGAGGTCCACATATAGGGTACCACCCTAACGCCAGCAAATCCTTCTCATCGTGAAGCCAGATCATTATGATCGGGCTGTGGAGGTTTTCGGCAAGTGAGGATAAAATAACTAAGGTAAAATAACTAAGGACGGCCAAAGACGCCCATCTTGGCGCAGTAATTGGAACTACGGACTTCCAATTTGGTGCAGGAAAAGTGAATGGTGGTTGGCAGAATCAATATTATCAATTTTCCTTTTGATTTTGCAGCATTCACACATGGAGTCAGCATCGTTTGGAACTACCTGATGCGTACCATCGAGATCCATTCTCCTCCACCTTGGAAGAAGCAGTATTGTCAAGTTCATTCCCAAACTAATTGGCTACCACGACTTAACCCTAGCAGAAGGCACTTCCACCAAGACGCTGGGAGGGATGGGACTATAATCCAGAGATTGCTGACTCTGAACGCATCAAATTCACTTAAGCTCACGGCAGCCCCTCACTGACCATAATCGCCCCAGAATGCAACAGGGAAGTGGACACCAGCAAGTTAATAATAAAAGATCCGTAGGTCCATTACAACAGATCGGCAGAACTGCCAAAATGACATATTGCAGCAACTATTGCTGGGGTTCCCAAAGGTGACCAAAAAAAGTGGCTATAAGCGCAGGAGGTGGGCGCCTCGAACTGGCTAACTACGTTGCCGATGGGGCAAATGGTTTCAGCCTTAACAAACAGAAATTTACAGATGCCATTGCTCTAGGTACGGTTGGCCAGTAGAGGTTTGCCCTCCCAATGTGTGTGTGGCTATTCTATGATGGCAAATCCGCCGCCATGGTTTTGCAAGAAAAGCTTCATATGCGCAGGGCATGACCCGAGGTAAGGGATATACCGCTGCCATGTTGAAGGGAAATCTGTCAGGACGTCGTTAGAACCGACCCTCCTTCCACTGGATACAACGAGATCTTCCAGCACAGGACTTCAAGCATCTAGCAAGCCGATGTGGTCAGTGCTCGAGATTCTGGGCGGGACAGCTGACCTTCGACATCAGGATTTTGATCCCATGGCCGTTTGACCACCGTAACCTGGCTCTCGATGCTGCATAAGAGGAACGAGAACTGACAAGAAGGGGCATATGGGAGAATTCCAAAATGTTGATCAAGGCAGCTTCACTCCTCTATGTTCACAACCTCTGGTGGGATCGTTGTTGATGTTTTCTCGCCAGACTCGCGGAATGATCTCCGAACGACAGCAACCCAGAAGTTATGTCACAGCTGGGTAGGATGTCGACTGTCATCTCTCTCCTTCGGTCGGCTGCTCTCTGCCTCAGAACAGGCTTCTGCCCTACTCCGACAACTGCTGCAGATATCGACTATGAGGCTACAGTCACTGAATGCGCATAGATCTGCGGCACTCAACTAATTCTTACAGATAGGATAGTTTCTTATGTATTGGGATATTTAATATTAAGGTAATAAATGGTGGCAGCGAATTGTGGCTATTGGGGGGCTGAGGTACGTTTAAAAAAAAAAAAAAAAAAAAAAAAAAAAAGTAGTAGTAGTAGTAGTGGTAGTAGTAGTAGTATTGTTAGTAGTAGTAATTAGTGGTAGTAGTAGTAGTAGTAGTATTAGTAGTAGTAGTAGTAGTAGTAGGTGGTAAGGATGATGTCATGAGGGCAGCAGCAGGAACCTACAAGTGTGCTAGCCACCAGGCTGTGGTGGGGAGGCGGCCATTCACGCCATGAGATTGATATTTGTGAGCAGGCAGCGTGATTGTGAGGCCGTTCCTCCTGGTGGATGCTTCAAACGCATTCCAGCATAGCAACAAGGCTGCACTGCACAACATCAAGATCAAGTGTCAAGCTTTGCGGTATATTTGAAAAATTCGTATAGAGATCCTTCAGACCTCTACGCAGTAAACAACAAGGCTCAGAGGTGATGCCATCTTACAGTCAACTGAAGACAACACAGGGGGACCCCGTTGCAATGGCAATGTATGCAATTGGCCCATCAGTGCTCCAACAAGAAATGGAAATTTGGAAACAACTGGGGGTCAAACAAGTGGCATATGCTGATGACCTTACAGGAGCAGGAAAGTGGAGTGCATCAAAAGTGGTGGGACTTGGTAACATCGCGAGGTCGTAAGTGCCACCCAAACATAGCAAGTCAACCTTCCTCATCGTGAAGCCCAGAACATTATGAATGGGCATTGGGTTTGGCAGAGTGGTCAAAATAACTAAGGACGGCCAAGACATCTAGGCACAGTAATTGCTTTTCTGGACTTCAAGACCGATGCACGTGGCAGGAAAGGTGAATGAGTGGGTTAGTGAAATCCAAGCTCTGTCTGAGATTGCTAACACAGTACCATTTGCTGCTGCATTGCCATCAGGTCAGCATCGTTGGGAACTACACGATGCGCACTATCTGATACCGGACCCTCCTCCACCCCTGGAAAAGCTGTCAATGTCGGTTCATTGGAAATTAGTGAAACACCTGACGCTGTGAAAGAGCACTTCTTGCACTTCACCAATACTGGATAGGAGATTGTTGCCACTGAACATCAAAAATTCATAAGCTCACGGCAGCCCTCATGGACCACATAATAGCCCAGAATGCAACAGGGAAGTGGATACCAGCAGTAAATAAGATTCGTAGGTCCATTACGACAGATCGACAGCACTGCCAAATGATAAGTTGCAGCAACTATTGCTGCAGGTACCAAAATTTGAAAAAAATAGCTATAGCGCAGGAGGTGGGCGCCTCGAACTGGTTAACTATTTACCGATAAGGGCAAATGGTTTCAGTCTTAATAAACAAGAATTTACAGATGCCATTGCTCTAAGGTACAGTCGGCCAGTAGGGGTTTGCCCTCCAATGCGTGTGTGGGTCTTCCTATGATGGCGATTACGCCATGGTGTGCAAGAGGGCTTCATATGCATGAGGCATGACGAAGTGAGGTATCTCACAGCAAATATGTTGAAGGAAATCTGCCGGGATGTCATGGTAGAACCGACCTCCTTCCATTGGATGGCGAGATCTTCCAACACAGGACTTCAAACACATCTAACGAAGCCCGTGTGGACGTCAGTGCTCGAGGATTCTGGGCGCGGGACAGCGAGCTCTCGCCGACATCAGGATTTTTTGATCCCATGGCCGTTTGTCACCGTAACCTAGCTCTCGATGCTGCACATAGGAGGCGAGAATGACAAGATAAGGGCATATGGGAGAGAATTCAAAACGTTGATCAAGGCAGCTTCACTCTAGTGTTCACAACCTCTGGTGGCATGGGACCAAGCGCAAGATGTTTCTACGCCAGACTCGCTGAGTTTATCTCCGAACAGAAGCAGCAGCCAGAAGTTATGTTACAGCCTGGATGAGATGTCGACTGTCTTTCTCTCTCCTTCGGTCGGCTTTGCTCTTCAGGGAACGAGGCTTCTGCCCCCAACTCCGACAACTGCTGCAGATATTGACTATGAGGCTACAGTACTTGAGATGCCACATAGATCTGCAGCTCAACTAATTTAACACAGATAGGATAGCTACTTATGTATTAGGATATTTAATATTAAGGTAATTAAATGGTGTGAATTGCTATTGGAGATGGAGGCCAAAAAAAGTAGTAGTAGTAGTAGTAGTAGTAGTGTGTGAGTGTTTGTTAACTGTATTGTAACTGTACTCTTTCTCCTGGTGACGAAGGAGGGAGGAGGTCGACTGGGTACGCTGGTGGAGGCGGTGAAGGAGGTACTGAGAGGTGAGGAAGAGGAGGAGGAGAGAGACGAGAACCTTACAGTACAGGTGGTGAGTGTGTATGGTCACCACCCTCACGCCCTCACAGACTCCTCCACCTCTTCCTCCAACACTTTCTCCTCCTCGACTCCAAGTTCCACTCGTGAAGGAGGACAACTGAAGGACGTGCCCCTACCTCGTCCTTCAACGTGCGTGTGGCTGAGCGTTAAGGAGGCCACAGGACGGTTTGTGGATCCTGTCAAGTTACAAGGACTACTGAATCTACATACCCGACAGGTGAGTCATTATACCCGACAGGTGAGTCACTATACCCGACAGGTGAGTCACTATACACGACAGGTGAATGTCCATACCCGACAGGTGAGTCACTATACACGACAGGTAAATCTCCATACCCGACAGGTGAGTCACTATACACGACAGTTGAATCTCCATACCCGACAGGTGAGTCACTATACACGACAGTTGAATCTCCATACCCGACAGGTGAGTCACTATACA